TAGCCTGGGCAAAAGAGTGAGACTCGTGTCACAAAAAAAAAAAAAAAAAAAAAAAGACCAGATGGGTTGGAGATTGGTTTCTGTGCCCGAACAAGCCATGGGTTTGGCTGTTGCTCCCCCAGTGCCCTGCTCCCCCTCCCCTGCCCTGGTCCCGATCTAGCACCTCCCCCAGCGGTTACCTCCTGGCGGATGTCATGGGAGAGCCATCTGCTTACTTCAGCCATTGCTGAAGTGGAGTCCCTGGGCAGCCCCCCTGGGGCAATGTCGTGAGTGCTGGGGGGAGCAACTCTTGTATCTTCAAGGGGGCCTGGGTAGCCCTCCAGAGCTGAGTGACCCTAGTGTCTGTGCTGCCACCATCGCCAGCTGGCTCTGGGCCCATGTGAACTACATATAAAATCCCAAGCCCTCTGCTAACTGGATGGACCCCTCTCGGCCAAAGGGACCCCAGAAACATCTTAAAACTGAGTTCCCAGCCATGATGGGCTGGCACAGATAAAACACAATTACGAACGTGTATGATTTCCCTATTTTCATAAATATTCATGACTCCTCCTATTGCTTGTTGAATTTGCACATTTGACCAGCCTGCCCAGTATAAAATCTTGTTCTTTCTGTCTGTTCTTCGAAGCCCGTGTGCCTGGCTTCCGGCCAGGGCTCTGCTTTCCTTACCAGCCTGTTGGAATGGCCGCCCCACAGGCCACTACCCTTCATGAGAAATAAAGCTCTCCTTTTCCCAAAGTATAAACCGCGCTGATTTTTTTAGTTAACACCCACGAGGGGATCTAGTTGTCCTTTCTCCTCAACTCCAGGGCCTGGGAGGCCTCCAGGATGGCATGCTGGAGTTGGGGGGCCAAGGAGGTAGGGGGTGCTCACGGAGCTCAGAGGAGGTGCGTGGAGGAGTGGCGTGGGCGCCATGATGGGTGGCCCCAGCTGTGCTTCCGGCTTCCGGTCTAAGGACTCCCCTGGAGATTGGGGGCCTGCTGTCAGGCAGAGCCCACCGAGGATGGTGACCCCTCTGCTCTCAGGAGCTGCATGGGGGACCAGGGCCCACTCACTGCTGCTACCTGAGGGGGTGACCGTCTCACCTGGGGAAGGTGACCAGGCCTGAGCCTGGGAGTTGGTCTCCCTTCAGGCTGCTCAAGAAAATGTCCTTGAGCGTCCAGCGTCTTTCCCCTGAGTGATTCTTCTATTGCTTTTGGTTACTTGTTAACTACTTGATTCATTCTGGACATCTTGGTCCTCAGCATACCTGTGAGCTGCCTGCCACCCCCACCGCTCCCAGGTGGCTGAGCCTGTGACAGTGAGACCGCTGGGGCTGGGTGTGGTGCCTAGGACCACCCCCTCGCCACCGTCTCCACTGGAGTCAGCCCTCCTCTGTCTGCCCATTGGCCCGGCAGCCTCCTGTAACATTGCACTTAGTGTTCGTTAATTGCATTATTCACACTTCCTGGGCCCTCCAGGGAGTGATGGGCTTAGTGAGAACCCGCTTTCTCCGCAGTGTGACTGTCCTTGGGGACGATGTGGGTGGGACAGGGAGGTTGGGTGGGATGGGAGGTGGGGCTCAGGAGATCTGCAGGGGGAGCTTTGGCCTGGGGAGCCTGATGGGGCGTCGGGGTCCTGAGGCCCCGAGAAGGAAAGAGTCTGGCTCAAGGTCACCGGTGAGCCAGAAGCAGAGAAGCTAGACCTCTGGGTCCCAGCGACCAGCTCACTCATAGCGGCTCCCACATTCCTGCCAGAGACTTGGGGCTCAGCTCAGAGGCCACAGGGAGAGCAGGGGTGGGGGTCCCAGGTCTGGAACTCGGGACTTACTGTCGTCAAGTCCCTGCGTGACACACAGAGAGGAACAAACCTGTTTCCCTCAGAATTGAGAGCTGGACGTCTTGCCGGTTGTCCACTCCATCAACCCCCTCCCCTACCCCAGGCTCCATGCTGGACGGCAACCAGCTTGGGCCTGTCCCTGCGTCCCCAGTCTGGGAGGGATGACTCAGACCCCTGGGGACAGCCCAGGAAGGGCAGGGCGAGGAGGAGGAGGAGGAGGGGGGGAGGAGGAGGAGGAGGAGGAGGGCTCCTGCCCTCGCCCCCCCATGGGGTCACTGTCCACCCATGGCCTGATTGCAATCTGGTGGGTAGGGCCCGGCCTGCCAAGGGAACATGGCAGGGTCTGCTGTCTTGCGTGTGCCTGGTCCTCCCAGCCTCCTTCCCTCTTTCCTTTGGAAAACCCATTCCAGGAGGGACTGGACACCTCCCCTTCCCCCCCTTCCCAGTAGGCACAGGACCCAGGCCCAGATAGTCAGGGACTCCAATCCCAACCATGCCATTCAGAGATGGCGTTCTCTCCGAGATTTGATATATGCTCTATGGGAGAGAGGATCTTTCTTTATTTTTGATTATGAACCAACCAAGGTTGATGTGGGGCTTCCACAGCTATTGTGCTGATGGGAGAATGAAGGCCACAAGGCAAACAGCAGAGCCCAGAGGGACAATATACCTGCCCGTATTCTCAGGCTTCCTGGATCCAGCCGTGCCTGAAGCTGGAATTATCACTTGGACAATGCACCTACATGAACCAGTGAGTATCCTTCCTTGCTTAAGAAGGTTCAAGTTGGGTTTCTGCCTCGTGCATTTGAGTAATGGGGGTGGGTCATAAGACTCAGAGCCTGCCATGGGGTGGAGGGTCCTCTTCAAGTGGTGTCCCCCTATTCCACCCTACAGTCCAGATGCTGCCAGCTCCGTGGTAGGCTGTAAACCAGGCAGCCACCAGCGGTGAGGCAGAGACAGGCAGCCCCAGGCCCCAGGCCCCCTGCTGTGAGGAGGGCCAGTTGTGGATGGCTTGAGGCTGGAGTGGCAGGGCCTGCAGACCTGGCTTCCTTGGAGACCTGATGGGCAGGTGCAGCTAGGTTGTCACCCAGGGGGCAAAGATGTGCCCAGAGATACCAGGCCTGACCTAGGTGATCCGTTCTCGGCTCCAGAGAGTTCACCTGGGCCAGGGGAGGTGCCATGTGCCATGGAGCAGAGCAGAGCCCAGGACAGAAGATTCACTCCTGCAGACGATGAAGCTGCCTGTCCCTCTGCTGCTCACGCCCAGCGCCTGGTCAGCCATGCAGGCGGACGTGGCTGGGAACACCTGAGCGTGGGCGGCATTGGGCCGTGCAATGCCAGGTGTGCACGTGCGCGAGTTCTAAGTGAGGGGGCACTAGTGTGTGCACCAACGCTGTCTGGGCAACTGTGCACAAACCCACAGGAGACAGGACACACACAGAGGAGTGTGTGTCTGGGGCTGTCTGGAGGAACTGGTGTTGGGGACCCCTGTGTATGTGTGGGATTGGCTGTTGTGAGAGCGGAGGTTCCATCTTTTGTATCAACCCTCCTCCCTCCCCCTTTGGGCTGACACCTGCTGCTCACGTGTGCAGATGCTGTTGGTGCCCTGTCTGGAGACCTTGGACCTTGCCACACCCGTGCATGCTGACCCGGTGGCAGCCATGCTGGCCACCTCGATGGCTTCATCTGCCAGCATCGCAACGACCCTGCCTGAAGACTTTGTTGGTCCAGAGGAGCCCCCTTGCCTGCATGCACAAGGGGCAGGAATGAACATTCTTCAAAGGGTGGCCTCCCCACAGAAACTGCTGAGAGTGGTGTGTACACGGTGCCTCTCCCCAACCCTGCAGGTGGGCTGACTTCCAGTTGTGTTCTACCCCGCCCCTGCCTGAGCTCAGTGGCCCACAGTGGTGACCTGCTCGATGACACCCTCACTTGCCCCTGCCCTTCCTGGTTTCCCTGCCCCATTCCCTCTGGAGCTCCTGGGTTACCTGCCTATCCAACCCCTCATCACCGATTCCCAATGTCCCGGTGATGCGGTGATGTGGCTTCAATCCTGAGCCCAGGTACCGGGGGTGTTCTCCTCGGCCCCTACCCCTCGGGCCCCAGCACAGAGAGGAGGCCAGTCTCTTTGCGGGAATGTGCGTGGACATAGCACAGCACAGGGCACGTCGTGGATGGCGGGGACAGGAAGCGCCAAGAGCTCGACAGTTCCACGGGGCTGAGTGGGCTGTTGGAGCAGGTGTCAGTGGCGGGTGGTTCAGGTTGGGGTCCGAGTGGGGCTTGACACCATCACTAAGAAGGTTTCTATATTCACTCCCAGGAGGAGGGGCCGCAGGGCACGGAGGTGGCACCCACGCCACACCTGCTGGTGTTTACAAGAACAAAGGAGGGATTGTTTTGCATACAGAGAGGGAGGCACAGGGATCAGGATGTGTCCAGAGGGAGACGTTGGGGGACAGGAGCTTGTCCTAAAAATGGGATGCTAGAATGGGTTTAACCTCATGGCATATCCCAAGGGCGGAAGACAAGCCCAGGATCAACGTGACAAATTGTGTCTACAACTATGAGTGTCCATGGACAGTGGGTTTCAAAGTGGGAGAAGTGGGGGTTCCTCACTGGAACTGACGCATCAGCTTTGAACAGTGGCACCAGGGAGCCGGCAGGTGGCGGTGTGGGCTCGGAGTGGGGGTGGGGGCCCCGCTGGACAAGGAAGGAGGAGCCGGTGCTTCCCCAACTCACAGTCACTCCCCCTCCTGCTTGCACCCTCCTACAGGGGCACACCCCACGTTCAGAGCACTTGGGGGTGTAGGGCTATGCCAGTGGACTTTGCTTGGGTTCTAGTGGGAGGGTGGGACAGAGACAGGGAACCAGGCTCTGCCAAGAGATGGACAGCCAGAGCCACAGTCTTACGGAGGACACAGAAAGGAAGAAGAGGATTTGTGCAGAGCTGGAGAAAACCACTCATGTCAGTTTCAGTACAATTTCCTTTCTTTCCTGGTAGTACAAACGGTCAGGGTGCTGGAAGCCAACTGCTGTTCAAGTAAAACGTGTAGTCCCTGATGTTCCTAGAGTCAGCTCCTGAGGTTGATGGCTCATCCTAGTGACATTTACACCAGCCAAGTCTCAGAAATGATGCCATGTTTCAGTGAGATTAAAAAAAAAAACAAAAAAAAACCCTCCTGTAAGTGACTGACTACCCAGATATCCATATCAACAAGAAAATGACAAAATGACAAGCCTTCATCGATGCCTAATCTTGAGCAGCAAAGGGCAGGGCTTGCTAGCTGGAGGCATATTTTCAGTTTGTTGCATTTTGGTGTTCCCTTTTCTTACAAGTTGCAGAAGGTGCGAAGCCCCATGCACTTTTTAAAAGTGTTACTTCTTGCTACATTTTTATTGATATGACATATTTATTTTGAACACAGAAAAGATACATTGTTGCTTATTCAGTGCCTCGTCCAGGAACAAGAAAAGCTGTTCAGCTCCATCCCTCCAACACTGGCGAGTAGATAGGGGAATTGTATCTTTTTATTTCCCCTGACAGCACGCTCTAGAAATTGCAGAAGCAGGATGCAGTTTTTAAAAGAGTCTCATCCCTGGAGAGTGCATTTAAAAGGCTATACAGTACAGTGGACAGATATTTTTTGCCTAGAAAACAGTACACCGCAAAGGTGTCACTGTATAGAACTGCTTGTAAACACGGTCCCTCCCCCAGGTGTCTGGGGCTCCAGGACACAGGATGCTACAGAACCTCTGGGTGGCTTCCTTCCAGCTCCGTACCAGAAAAAAATGCTATTTCTACAGAAAATAAAATTCATCTTTGCCACCCCTCTGTTTAAGAAAGGAATTACTGAATCGTCTTAGCCCTTCGTTGGAGGAATTGAAATGTGAGGAAGAGGATGGATGGGTGGGGAAGAGGATGGATGGGGTGCTGTTGATTAAGGGCAGGGTGTTGGCTGCTGGCGATGCTGGCAGGGACACTCCTCACTGATTCGTGGCCACCAAGCTTGGCAGGCTGGGTCTTTAGGAATCACCTCTGTTACCTGCGTGGTCTTTGCTGGAAATTGCTGGGGTTCCTGGGCCAAGATCTGAGCCTTTCCACAACCAGGCGGACCCCAACAAGCCCCTTTTGTGGCAGGACAGTGGCAGTGAGACCGAGACACAACCACTGGTCCTCTCGTGGAGGCGTGGTGGCATCTATGGGGCTCACATCCCCTTTATTTTGTCTCTGCAGACACCCTGGAGGGGCAGGGCCAGAACAGGTCGACTTGCCATTCCCAGCTGTGAGCTGCCACCCAGGAGGACAGCGCCAGCCCTGGGGTCTGCTCCATCCATTCAAGCTCAGGCCACAGTGGTCAGCTGGGCAGGGGCTGAGCGAGGGGCCACTTCTCTGCCTTGGTGTGGTGTCCAGGTAGCATGGCGGGGAGGCCACCTGGAGAAGGGCAATGGCCTCATCTTCCTTGAGGACCCTCTATCCTGGGCAGTAGTTGGACTGACATGGGAACAGCTGTAACCCATGACCCCAGCCACCACCACCCCCCCCCGCCACAAGGGCCCTGTTCCTCCCCAGCAGCTTCTGAGATAACCCCACTAGCACCACCAGACTGAGGGTGCTGGGTTAGGGAAGGGGCCTGGCGGGCTGTGAGGGCCTCCAGGTTATACCTGAGCCCCCAGACCTGTGTCCCCAACCCCATAAGTGGCAGGGTGGTGATGTTGTGGCTCTTCTGCCCTTGAATTGAGAGATAGGCACAGCGCACAGTGGCCTCTCACTGGGGCCTGTCCCCCCTCCCAGGAGGACAAGCCGGCCCTGGGGTCAGGGTTGGGGCAGGCAGCTGACCTGGGATGGCCAAGTAGTTTCCGGAGGCAGAATCAGAATTTGGGCACGGACTGCCGGGAGAGGGCAGAGACGGCCCCGTGCTTGCTCACCCATCCTCCCCCAGCGCTGTCTCCAGAGGCACGACCAGCAGGCTGGGAGGAGGAGGTGGGAAGCCGCAGGTGGGTTTTGAGTGGGTGCGGTGGGCCTGTGTGTGCACGTGTGTACACACAGGTGAGGCATGTCTAGCTGTGTGTGTGCACATGGGTGTGTGAGTGTACATGTCTCTGTGTATACAAGTCTCATATGCATGTGTGTGTGTGCGTGTGTGTTTGTGCCAGTGGGGTGTGGCCCAGCCTGGAGGGACCTGCAGGCCCTGGCCGGCTGGGTCACTCATATGATCCTCTCTGGGCCAGAGGCGGGGGCCCGGGTCGGGGTGGGTGAGTCCTGTGAGCCCCTCGGCCCTGGGCCGGGTCCCGGCAGTGGCAGCAGGCCCGATGGGGGGCCGGCCCCACACACTGCCTCGTACGGGGGCAGCGTGTCCATGGAGACGGTGCGGACGCCACCGTGGCCCGGGGTCCTCTGCTCCTGCTGGTGTTGGCGGGGGCCGTGGCCGCTGCCCGAGTCCTGGGTGCCACCCAGCGTGGAGCAGGAGCCCGTCAGCGAGTAGGGCGGCGGTGCGTCCGTGGGGACGTACAGCTGAGTGGCCCCTGGCCCCGTGCACTCCTCGTAGCTGCGAGATAAGAGGCTGCCTCAGCGCCCTGCAGAGCCTGGGCCTTAGGGCTGGGTGTGGGGGTCTGTCCCTAAGGGCCGGGGGCCTATCTGCAGGGACAAGCTGCCCTGGCTGTGGAGCATGTCCCCTGCTAGGCCCTGTCCCCTGCAGGCTGCCAGACACCCCTTGGCCTCAAGTCACTCCAAAGCCGCCCTTCTAGGTTTAGGAAAGAGTCCATGGGCCCCTCTGAACCACCACGCACAGCAAAGATGCGCCCACTGCCCAGAGAGGGCCGATGGGGCCCGGGTGGCCCCTCTGCACACAGGAGGGGGCCACTGAGCGCCCCCAACAAAGGCAGGTTCCCATGTCAGCCTGTCCCCCCGGGTCACGTCCTCTCGTGCTCTCGGCACCGGTGCCTTGCCACCCGTGACCTTGGGGCAGTAACGATGACAGTGCTAGGCAGAGCCAGCAAGTGCCAAGTGCCACGTGCTGGGTGCGCTGCCGAGCGTTTGACCTGCACGATTTCGTGTCATTTTCATAACTGTCCTGTAGAGCAGGTGTTGCTACTGTGGCCATTTGAACGATGGAGAAGCAGGCACAGAGAGGTTAAATAACTTGCTTAAGACCACACAAGAAAGGATTTCCAGAGCGAGTCAACCTTGGGGCCATGAGATGCCAGCGTGTGCGTTCGTACCGTCTTTGCCACCCTGGTCCTTGGTGTTACTTATAGAAGCACAACGAATTTTCTCCCTGGGGGAGGGGGGGTTGATCGCATGGGCACTGAAATAACCTCACACCACCCTGGCCCAGCCTCCTGGGGAGACACCTGCAGGAACAGATGCCCAGGGGGCTCTGGGCAGCTGCCATGGAAGCCCCGAAGCTGCAGGGGCATTCCCAGCAGGCCTGCTCATGGCCTGAAGGAGCTGAGCTTGCCTCTCTTCCTTTCCTAGCACTCCCTGGTGACATCTGCTGAGTCACACACCACCTCAGGGGACCCGATTGGCCAGGAGGGGTGAGGAGATGGCCACAGCCACCACGCAGGTGGTTCCTGCATTTATCCCATGTGGAGAGGCACCGTCATTTTCCCTGGTAGGGGTGTCCTCGTGTCCAGAGCCCCGCCCTCTCGTGCCACTTTGCCCACGTGGCCTCCTTACCCTGGAGGAGAATCTGGGTACAGCTCCCGGAGCACCGTGGCATCCATGTCCCCATCAGAGCTGACGTCCAAGGGTGGGGGCCAGTCCTCCGTGGTGCTGCAGGCATAGCGCGTCCTGTGGCTTGAGCGGCTGTATGTGTGTCCGTCAGGCACTGTAGGGAACGGACCATCAGCCTGGGCCTCAGGCCGGTACCCAGGCATGGCCCTTACGAGTCTGCCTGAGACCACCGAGGCTCCCATCTCCCCTCTCCGGGCACAGCTCCCTTTATCCTGCAGAGGCAGCGCCAGAACGTGCGTGCCATTGCAAGGCTGGGCATGAGGTCGCAGAGAGGAAGCAGAGCTGGCTCTGTCCAGGTGGGACTCCCAGGGCGGTGGCAGCCTGCCCTGGGAACGGCCTGGTCCTGGGTAGCGTGTTGTGAGCTTTGACAGGGGTAGCTCTGGGGCTGTGGGAGCAGGGACAGGCCTGCCCAGCCTGGAGGTCAGGGAGGGCTTCCTGGAGGAAGCGCTGCTGGAGCTGAGCCTTGGAATTAGCCAGGGGTGGAGGGGAAGGCCAGGAGGAGGGAACTGATCAGCTTGAGCCAAGGAGGGAGATGAGAAGAGTGTGGTGTGAACAGGGAGCTTTGAGCTGTGAAGTCCAGCTGGGGCATGAAAAATGGGGAGGGGAGTAGAAAGAATGAGGGCTGCAGACAACCCTGGGATCAGCCCCCTACTCCAGTCACATACTGTTCCCTTTAGTTCCACATACTGCATTCTCCTTTGGGGTTTTCAATCACACATTAGCACATCAAAGGCTCTGAAAAGTCCTGCATCTAAGAAACACATTTAACTGTGCTTGTCCAGCATTTGACCACAGAATCTTACTTTCTTAGACCTAGTGACACTGCTTAGGAAATGCCACTGGGGCACAATCCACTCATTCTACAGCTGAGGTTCAGGGAGGCCTGGTGACTTGCTAGAGGACACACAGTGAGTAGCAGGGCCAGAGGGCAGTGGATGTCTTGACTCCTCACCGGCTAAGCTCTCCACCTCCCAGTTTCTGATAGGTCTAGTCGCAGCTGGGAACAGTGGGACCTGCAAAGATGGCTGGGGCATGAGGTCTCCCCAGCCCCAGGGCTCCCAAGTGACTCCTCCCCTCTGGGGGTGGGGCTTGGCACCAGGGGCGGGGCTCTGACCTCTCTTTGTCCTGGGTGGCCATTCCCATTCTACAGACTCAGAAGCTGAGGCTCGGGGTTACAAGCCTGGCAAAACCTGGAGCTGGAATTCATGCAGTTTGTATAACCCCAAAGACTGCTTTCCCACTTCTCTACTCTCTTTTTCCCACTCTTGATACAAAGTGAATGGAAAAATCTAGATTTGAAACTGCAGGTATAATATGGACACTGAGAAAGCTCTCAGATGAAAATATTACAAACATGTTAACGGTGGCTCTGTCCAGATGACAAGATCATGACCTTTTATTTTCTTCTTTATATTGTCTGCATTTTTCAGGTTTTCTACAGTGAGCGTATATTACTTGACCACTAGGAAAAATGAACCCAATAACACATACTGTAAAAAAGGAAGCTGAAGTGATATTTGTTTCCCTTCAGGGCTTCGGCTAAAAGATAGAAATTTTAGAAGGACTTTGGGAAGAAACTAAGGAAAGATGTAAACACAAAACAACACAGTGAGGCTAGAAGTTGAACCAGGGCCGCCAGGCTCTGGGATGGGGTCCTGTCCCGGCCAGCATCACCAGGGAAGGGCCTTGGGGCTCAGGGAAGAGTTCTACCTGCAGAGCAGGAGGTTGTGGTCCTCACGCAGGGATTCTTGGGGAAAAGCAAGGGCTGTTTCCAGGACCTCAGTGGGGTGGCTACGGCGACATCCCTGAGAGCCGTTAGGGCTGAACCCAACTGCGTTTACTCTCTCCTCTTGGGCTGCTTTTTCTTGGGCCTCCCAGAGGCTGAGCATCTCAGGGAAACTGAGGCTGCTCTGAGGTGTTGCTCGGGCCCCCAAGTCTAAGATGAAGGCTGGGTGGCCCTAGGCCTGTCCCTTAACCACTCCAACCTCAGCTTCTGACCTGCAGATGAGAAGGGTGATAAAAAGTAGCCACTCCCTAGGACCATGGGGAGGACTTTGCCCAGAAAGTGCCCTCAGGCACTGGCCATCACCGCTGGGCCTCTGCTGGCTGCAGCACGTGCCCCTTAATTCCTTAATTCCTTACTCAGTGGACTCTGTGACAAGGGAGAGGAAATGCCCCAGACCTGCTGGTTAATCAGGATGTGTTGGGGGAGGGGAAGAGGGCTGATGGGATCCAGTTGGATCTATTTTTAACATGTTTCCTTTCTTTCTTTTTCCCCAACTTTTCCTGCCCTGGATGGGGACAGCCCTGTGGCTCTGGATCCCAGAGGCTCCAGTCACTTCCTCTGCAGTGTGAAGGGACCTCCCCGCCTGGTGGGTGGCCTCAGATGAGCAGGGATGGGGGTGGAGTGGGAGTTTGAGAGGGGTGGGAGGGGGCTGGCTTTTTCCTGCCATTGAAAATTGTCTGAAAATTGAATGCAAGTGAGTTCCTTCCTGCTGCTTTTAGACCACTGGCCCTTCCAGGAATGAGACAGAATCAGGTGGCTGCATTCTGTAAAAAGTTCAAGCATTCTGGCCAGAGGGACCCTTCTGGGACTGTCACCCAAGAATTAGCCAGCAACTCTGTTTAAGGGTGGTTCTAATAATCGGGAGACCATCAAATCGGTGCTATTTGCACTCTGCAGGCTCTCTGGGGACAGCTTTAATTCACTCGTCATTCATTCCATCCATCCGTCTGTGCATGTATTCATATGCTCACCCCTACCCCCACCCATCCCCCTGCCCTCCTATCTGTCCATCTTCCCACCCCTCCACCCACCCATACCTCTATCCATCCACTCCGCATGCCACTCAGTTCACCCATCTATCCATTCCTTTGTGCCCCTATTCCTCTACCTCTCCATTCATCCACCCTTCCGTCCACCCATTTATCCACTGGTCCCCTCCACCCATCCATCTCTCTATCCTCGCGCCCATTCTTCCACTCAACCCTCCATCATCCATCTGCCCATCCCTCCATCCTCCATCCCTGTATCCAGGCACCTGCTGGACCAGCACGGCAGGGGCTGGGGAGCAGTGACACCCTCCCTCTGACCTTCGGCCTCACTCTTGGCAGACAACAGGGCCTCTCATGCCCCTGAGAACATTATGGTGGCACCTGTGAGCTCTTCCTGGCCACCCAAGACTTCTAGGGTGCCTTCCCTGACCACCTCGCCCCACCCAAGGCAGAGCTGCCAGCTCCTCGATGCCTCCTGGGTTGCAGTCACAACTGGACGGGAGTCCCAGGGTCCCCGGGCCCGGGCCGGGGCGGGCGGCAGCTCACCATGGCCGTGCTCGAACTCCCGGTGCCGGTGCCGCCGGCGGTGGTGGTGGTGGTGATGGTGGCGGCGGTGGCGGTGGTGCCGCCGCTGGAGCCGGGCCTGCCTGTCCCTGCGGATGCTGCCCACGATGATGGTGATGCAGGACAGGATGATGACCACCCCTATGACGGCACTCGCCACCAGCACCGGAGACACGAGCAGGTGGCTGTGCTCTGAGCTCTCTGAGAATGTCGGGTAGAAGTAGCTGGTGCGGTTGTATCGCGCTACTGCGGACAGACAGAGGGGACACTGAGCGGGGCCCGGCCCGCCACGCACCTTCCTCCCCCACCCCTGCGTAAATGGAGGACAGTCTGGAGTCAGGCCCGTGGGCTCCATCCTGGCCACTCCTGGCCTTGCCCTGCCGCCTGCAGGAGCCTCTGGGAATGGGGCCTGAACGCTGCCGTCCACTTCGATGAAGCCCTAGGAGCTCTACAACTAACTCTCAGATAGGAAAAGGGAAACTCAGAGAGGGCAGTGGACTTGCCTGAGGTCACACAGCATTTTAGTGGCAGAGGCTTGAATCCAAGACTCTCAGTGCTAGACCAGGAGTCTCCGCCACCAAGATATGAGTTTGAAAGGTCAACATGACTTTACCAATGTCTTGGGAAGGGGTGAGGGATGTTCACGGGGACAGATATGAGGAAGGACTCTGCTGGCCTCAGGCAGGCCTAGGGGCTTGGATCAGGTCAGGGCAGGTTTCCCAGGGGAGGTGAAGCAGAGGTGATAGTGGAGGGTGAGAACGGGTTAGCTCGGGGAAGGCAGGGGAGGCATCCAGGCAGGACAGAGGCACAGAGAGGTGGGAGGGGACTTCTGGGAAGTGGTGTGGTGTGAGAGACAAGAGGAAGGGGCAAGAACCTCCTCTAGGGCTAATGGCTGGGTCTCCAGGGGCCCTAGGGAAGGAAGCTCCTGGGACCTGGTGACTTTGTCCTCCCAGGGCCCTAGGGGATGGAGTCCTGGGGAAGGGTCAGAGTCAGCCAGGGGCAGCCACAGGCACCCACTGCCTCCCTCAGGGACAGATAGCACCTCGTTAGTGAGTGCCTTGGAGTGCCACTTAATTCCCTCCATCTCATCCCCACGGGAATGCAGTTCTCTCCTTTTACAGATGTGTGGACTGAGGCTCAGCACTGGTGAGTGACTATCTTGTGGTCACCCAGTTACTCTGTGGCAGATCCCTGCTAGAAATCTAGGTCTGGCTTCAAAGTCCAGGGCTCACTCTCCAGTGTCCCCTGCCCTAGCTTGGAGTCCTTCCTGAATTCTCCCGGCCTGATCTCTGGACAGCATCAGGGAGCCAGCTTCCGACACTCAATGGACCACAGGGGCAGGAGCAAGCGTGGGGAGATGCTAGATCATTCCTGGGCCCTGTTCTGAGAGGGTCCCCTTGCGTGATCTCCCAGAGCCCATGTCCTGGTCCCTGCTTTGCATCGGTTGCACATCAGCATGTGTGGTTTCCATGACTTCTGTCTGATCACTCTCTGTGTTCTCAAACTCAGCAATGGGGCTGGGCACACCAAGGTGCCTGATGCATGTACTGAGTGAGTGACCAAGTGGGGAAATGGGCAGGGAGGCTTTGAGCTGTCCAGGGGCATGTGGCCTCTGTCAAGCAGAGTTTGGGTGGCCACCTACAGAGTAGCTGTAGGAGGGCACATGAGGGCCTGGACATCTACCAATCAGAGGTTGGACACTCAGCTTTGGCTGCTTCCCCCTTCCCATCCCTTCCCAGCACTGGCTCCAAAAGCCTCCATCGCATTCAGCCTGTGGCAGAGACAGGTGTTAAAGCACAAATGCAGGACCTTAGCTGGGGCTAAAACATGCCCTGGGGGCATTTCTGGCCCATGCTGGTCGTTCTTGCAGCCTACTGACCTTCATCAGGAGGGGCTGGCTCAGAGGATGGGCCAGTGAGTCATCCCAGCCTGAGATCCAAGCCTTTGCTGAAGGTCACTGGAAGATGCTCCCCTGCAGAGGCATGTGCTAGGGAGAAGGAGCTCCCCGGGCTTTGACTGGGCATGCGTGCTCTGGACCCTGATGTAAGCATGCTGGGGTGAGTGGATTCCTGGGATTCTTTGAGGGCCGAACACGGGCCTCTGTTTCCAGAGCCCCTACTATGTGTAGGATCAGTGCTGAGAGCCCACTTTATCCTTGGAGCTATGTTCATTCAATTCTCCCCATTTTATAGGTGAGGACACTGAGGCTCAAAGATATTAAATGTCTTACCCACAGTCATACAGCTAGTATAAGACCATGCCAGACTGTCTCTGGGCTTTGGTCTCCCATTTAAACTCCCATAAGGAGTCACATTAGAAGCTCTCTAATGTATAACAATAATAGCACAAAAAGGGGGACGAGGGGATAGAGTTGTATAGGAGTAACTTAATTCTCTTAATATAAGTACAAAGTAGGTTCAGGTAAGTTAAGATGTATATGGTAAGTCCTAGAGCAATCACTAAGGACATAACTCAAATATAGTGAAAAAAATCACTCAGGAATTAAAATATAACACTATAAAATATTCACTTAAAGCAAAAAGAAGATATAGAGGAACAAAAAATATACAATACACAGGACATATATAAGACAAAAAGTAAAACAGCAAATGTAAATCCAACAGTATCAATAATAACTGCATCAATAATAATGTGAATTGATTAAACAATCTAATTGAAGGCAGAGATTGTCAAGCCAGGTAAAAAATAAGATCCAGCAATATACTGTCTATATGAGTCTCACTTCTTGAGAACCAAAGACACAATGAGGTTGAAAGTAAAAGAATGAAAAAAAGATATACCATGCAAATGGCAATCATAAAAAAGGTAGAGTGGCTATAATAATATCAGAAAAAAATAGGCTGGGTGTGGTGGCTCACTCCTTTAATACTAGCACTCTGGGAGGCTGAAGTGGGAGGATTGCTTAAGCTAAGGAGTTTGAGACCAGCCTGAGCAAGAGTGAGACCCCATCTTTACTAAAAATAGAAAAAATTAGCTGGGAATTATGGCACATGCTGATAGCACTAGCTCCTCAGAAGACTGAGGCAGGAGGATTGCTTGAGCCCCGGAGTTTGAGGTTGTTGTGAGCTATGATGACACCACTGCACTCTAGCTGGGATGGCAGAGAGAGACCATGTTAAACAAAAGAAAAGAAAACAAACAAATAAAATGAAACAAAAACAAACAAAGAAAAACCCATAAAAAATAGACTTTAAAACAAAAAATGTCATTTGCGATAAGAGGGACATTTAATAATTATAAAAAGGTTAATCTATCAGGAAGTTATAACAATTATGAACATGTATGCACCTAACAAAAGAGTCCCAAAATATGTAAAACAAAGTCTGAAAAATTGAGGGGAAATACATACAATACAACAAGAACAGTTGGAGACTTCAATACCCCATTTTCAATAAGTTATAGGAAAGCTAGGCAGAAGATCAATAAAGTATGACATGAACAACACTACACAAACTAGGTCTAACAGACATCTGTAGAACATTACACCCAACAACAGCAGAATAAACATTCTTCTACAACACACATGGAACTTTCTCCAGATAGGCCATATGAAGCTATAAAACAAGCTTAATGGATTTTAAATGATTGAAATTATACAAAATATGTTCTCTATCATAATGAAGTAGAATTGGAAATTAACAGAAAGAAATCTGTGAAATTCACAAATATGTGGAAATTAACACATTAATAAATAACCAATGAGTGAAAGAGGCAATCATAAGGAAAATTAGACAATCCTTTTTTTTTTTTTGAGACAGAGTCTCTCTTTGTTGCCCAGGCTAGAGTGAGTGCCGTGGCGTCAGCCTAGCTCACAGCAACCTCAAACTCCTGGGCTCAAGCAATCCTGCCTCAGCCTCCCAAGTAGCTGGGACTACAGGCATGTGCCACCATGCCCGACTAATTTTTTTCTATATATATTAGTTGGTCAATTAATTTCTTTATATTTATAGTAGAGACGGGGTCTCGCTCTTGCTCAGGCTGGTTTCAAACTCCTGACCTCGAGCAATCCGCCTGCCTGGGCCTCCCAGAGGATTACAGGCGTGAGCCACCGCGCCCGGCCTTAGAAAATCCTTTGAGATGAATTAACATGACATTGCCCCAAAACTTGTGGGATGCAGCTAAAGCAGTGTTTAGAGGAAAATTGATATCTGTAAATGTCACATTAAAAAAAGAAAAAAAGATCTCAAATAAACAAACCTAACCTTCTACTTTAAGATGCTGGAAAAAGAAGAGCAAACTAAATCCTAAGCAAGCAGAAGGAAGGAAATAATAAAGATTAGAGTGGACATTAGGGAAATAGAGATGAGAAAAACAATAGAGAAAAAGCAATGAAACCAGAAGTTGGTTCTTTAAAAAGATTAACAACATAGACAAGCCTTTAAGTAGAATGACCAAGCAAAAAAGAGAAGACTCAAACTACTGAAATCAGAAATGAAAGAGGGGACATTGCCACAGACCATATAGAAATAGGAATTATCAGGGAGTACTATGAACAATTATATGCCAACAAATTGGATAGCTTGTATGAAATGTACAAATTCCTAGAAGGACATAAAACTAAGCAAACAGACTCAAGAAGAAGCAGAAAGTTTGAATAGACCTATACGAAGTAAACAGATTGAATTAGTAATATAAAAAACCCCAAAACTTTCTACAAGAAAAGCCCAGGACCAGGTAGCTTCACTGGAGAATTCTACCAAACATTTAAAGAATAAATAATAACTTTAATGGGCATAGGTTTTTAGTTTGGGAAGATGAGAAAAGTTCTGGAGATGGATGGTGGTGATGGTCACACAACAATATGAATGTACTTAATGTCACTGAACTATACACTTAAAGCTGGTTAAAATTGTGCTCACTCACGCCTGTAATCCTAGCACTCTGGGAGGCTGAGGCGGGAGGATTCCTTGAGCTCAGGAGTTCGAGACCAGCCTGAGCAAGAGAGACCCCGTCTCTACTGAAAATAGCAAGAAATTAATTGGCCAACTAAAACCATATAGAAAAAATTAGCCGGGCATGGTGGCGCATGCCTGTAGTCCCAGCTACTCGGGAGGCTGAGGCAGCAGGATTGCTTGAGCCCAGGAGTTTGAGGTTGCTGTGAGCTAGGCTGACGCCAGGGCACTCACTCTAGCCTGGGCAACAGAGTGAGACTCTGTCTCAAAAAAAAAAAAAAAAAAGGTTAAAATGGTACATTTTATGTTATATATATTTTACCACAATGAATA